GAGACTCCGTCTCAAAAAAAAAATAAATAAATAAAAATAAAATAAAATAAAATAAAATAAAATAAAATAAAATAAAATAAATAAAATAAAAATCCTTTGACTTTTGAGCATGAATAAAACAGCTCTCTAGTATTAAACTCGCAAAGACTAAAAGCTGACTGCAAATGATTACATCACCTTCTAAAGGCACACGTTCCTACTTTGACTTCAGATGTTGCCAAGGAGGATAAAGCACAAAGGAGAATTGTCTCTTATCTGCATAACAAAACAAAGAATATCGAGGTAAAGGGGATGAGGGAGTTTCTACCAAAAATAAAAAATAGTGTCTAGCCTAAATAGGAGAGCTATCATCTTCGCAATGCCACGCAACTAAGACTGCATCGTTGTTACGAAGTACTAAGTGTTGCATGGCGCCAGTTCTTTCTTCAAGTGTCATGTTGCTCCTGCTTGCGTTAGTTTTAACCACGGTTAATTTTCCCGGCTCTACTTCTGTAGATTCAGAGTTGGAGGAGCAGACATTTCTGTGTTTTAGCTTACAGTGTGCTACCTTGTGAGAACGACATCCAGATCTTGTGGAGATGACTCTTCATGACCTGGACTTTAAATTGGATACGGTTATTAGAGAAGACTTGAGTTGTCATCTTTGGGGAGAGGACACAATGTTCTGTGAGAGGGAAAGTGAAAGAGGTATTTCTTCCTTGCCTTGGGGGACGGTTGTAGTAACAGTTAGCTGATGATATGAGTCTGTATTTCTCCCTACAGGGTATAATTTTGCGGGCAAGCAGTTGTGAAGTTAGAAGTGACATTTCCCGGTAGTCCTAAGTGGTGCTCTGAAACTTATTCTCATTGATGGATGTAAGAAAAAGTGATTTTTCCCTTTCAACCTGAAGCAGGTAAGAGACTGCTGTGGTTTTTCATGTTCTCTTTCTTCATCGGCTATCTAGGTGTTAAGTTCATTGTATAGTGACATAAACAAGAAATAAACTTTTATTTTGTTTAACCCATTTTGGATTTCTGCATTACAGGAACTAGCATTATTTGAACTTAGTATCATATTAGAATGTTAGCTTCATGAAAACTGTTTTGTTGTTGTTCACTGCTTTATCCAGTCATGTGGAACTGTGATGGGTTCTAAAAAAATAAATGTAATAATGAATGAATCAAGGAAGAAAAGGTAGAAGACGACTAAAATATATTTATTACCAACTTATTATTTTCCTATGTGAGAATATTCAAAATAAGGGTAACAACAAACCATTCAATATCAGCATAACTGAGTAGTCTAAGCCATTATAATAATCTGTATTATAAGAACATATAAATTATAAAATAAATTACAGTTCTTAAAACTGCACATATTTAGTTGTATGTTTATGTGCATGCACATTGTTTTGTTATTTTTTTTTTGTCTTTAGTTTGTCTAAGGCAGATAAAAAAACTTTATTGAAAACCTCATAAATGTGTGCATTGTTGTTTGGGAATGCAACTTTCTCAAACAAAAACATCACATTCAGGGTTTTTCAGCAAATTTAGGATAGACTTGGAATTTAACTTTTAACAAATGTGAAATCTCAGCACATTCATTGCTTAGTAGACAGCAGGTATTATATAAAATTTGTAGAATTATTTTTCCTATAATATTAAGTAATGAGAAAGAGAGCTCTCTATTTATATTCTTTATAAAAATAAGAAAATCATATTCAGGCATTACTTACCAAGCTTCATGTACAGTTTATCCATCATTTCATGTATAGAATGTAGGGACACAAATTGTGAATAGCTTGCAGAAAATCATGTAGCTAGTCTGTAGTACAGTGATCTTGAAACTTAAGTATAGTTTTCTCCATTATCTTACTAAGCCTCAAGAGTCATTATGTTCCCATAAGTAAATGTCTGATAATGCTGTCTCACTCCTAACCCTAACACAAAGGACTGTGAGCAGAATTTTCCATAGTTTCCTTAACTAAGATGAATGTGTTAAAGCTTGTTATAGTATAGGCTTTGTACATGACTATTCATGCAACAAAAGAATTGAGTTTATTTAAAAAAAAAGAATTCTTCCAAGGCTCTTGTAGTAAACATTATATTCTTTCAACATGATTTGAAAATGATAATACATTTTTGTTAGAAACCTGAAAAATAGTGTGTATGCCTTTGACAACAGAAATTACACAATGTTAGCCTCAAATCTAATCTAATCTTAAAGCTAACATTAAATCTTAGCTTTAACATTACTAGATAAACCTTAAAATAATCTTAATAACAAGAGAAAAAAAAGGAATTAATTGTATACCTAAACCCCAAAATATACTATTACAAGACAGTTTTCCAGGTGGCCTTAGACTGGTGCAGTTCCCTCCTTTTCTTGCGGGTTTTTTTTTTTTTTTTTTTTTTCCCCCAGGAATAACTATAGAGTACCCTGGGAATGCAATATCTTGAGATAAGGAAGAATTATCAGAAATAGTGCAGGACTGTTCTTGACCCTCTTAGGGAATGTAATATCTTGAGTTAGGAGGAAAAAGTTCAGGAAAGCCTGTGCTTTGTTCCTCTTTCCCCTGGAAGCAGAATGCCCATCAAAGCTTTGCCCAGCATGTGACATGACTTCCATCACATGATGTATATAACTTGGTGTGGACTGCCTTTCAGGGTTCTTAAGCTGTGGTGCAAAGTGGAGCATGTGCAGTCAAGATTTCCTCTCTCCTGAGAGGCTTTCTTGAGTCTTGGGGGACCAGTTCTCACTGGATTCTAGGGTGTTTTTCCCCTTCCCCTTGCTGTCTATCCATGAATAATAAATCCACTTCATGTAATTTGTGTATGAGTATTTTCTGTTTCACTAAACTCACAGAAGTTGGTGACCAGTGCATGATAGACCTGCTACAAACTTTGAACATTTTTTTCTAAAAATTTAAAAGATACTTTTGACTATTTGAAATCAGTTAAAAGTAAAAAGACAGGTGAACACAAACATGGCGTCTGTGGTGCTGGCGCTGAGGACTCAGACAGCCGTTACATCCTTGCTGAGCTCCACTCCTGCTACAGCTCTTGCTGTCAGATATGCATCCAAGAAGACAGGTGGTAGCTCCAAAAGCCTTGGTGGAAAGTCATCAGGCAGACGCCTAGGCATTAAGAAAATGGAAGGTCACTATGTTCATGCTGGGAACATCATTGGAACACAGAACCATTTCCGCTGGCACCCAGGTGCCCATGTGGGTCTTGGGAAGAATAAATGTCTGTATGCCCTGGAAGAGGGGATAGTCCGCTACACTAAGGAGGTCTACGTGCCTCATCTCAGAAACACGGAGGCTGTGGATCTGATCACCAGGCTGCCCAAGGGTGCTGTGCTCTTCAAGAATTTTGTCCACGTGGTTCCTGCCAAGCTGGAGGGCACCTTCAAACTGGTAGCTATGCTTTGATGTCCTGTTTGAGACCATCAGACAGAGACTGGAGCCCAGGTGACAGGAGATGGTGATACCTGAAGTCAAGGGTTGGGGCGACGACATGGCCTCCCAAGGAAGAGGTCTGCTTGATGGTGACTCTGCAGGAGCCTCTGAAGTGACTGCTGGGAAACCCTTTGGGAGACCTGACCTGGGGCCAAAAATAAAGTGAGCCAGAGTCATGGAAAAAAAAAAAAAGAGTAAAAAGACATTGTTTTCTTTGTCATTGCATAAACCCAAAGATATTATAATGCAACTTGGAAAAATGTACTTAGCATTTAAAGTAATTTTTTTGGATATAATCCAAAGAAAATCAGTAATTTTTCCTCCAAAGGAAAACATTAATCACACAATCATGGAACATTATATTATGTACTTACCAACTAAAGAAAGCCAGGGACCAGTTGAATTCACAGCCTATATATATATATATATATATATTTTTTTTTTTTTTTTTTTTTTTTTTTTTGAGGCGGAGTCTTCACTCTGTCGCCCAGGCTGGAGTGCAGTGGTGAGTTCTCGGCTCACTGCAACCTCCACCTCCTGGATTCAAGTGATTCTCCTGCCTCAGCCTCCTAAGGAGCTGGGATTACAGGTGTGCACCACTGTGCCCAGCCCAAATTCTAACAGATGTACAAAAAAGAGCTGGTACCAATTCTACTGAAACTATTCCAAAAATCCAGGAGGAAGTACTCTTACTTAACTCATTCTGTGAAGCCAGCATCACCCTAATACCAAAGCATGGTAAAGACACAAAGAAAAATGTGAACTACTGGCTAATATCCCTGATGAACACAGATGCAAAAAAATTGTCAGCAAAATACTATCGAACTGAATACAACAGCAAATCAAATGTTAATTCACCATGATAAAGTAGGCTTCATTTTTAGGATGCAAGGCTGGTTCAACAATGCAAATTAAGAAATGTGATTCACCACATAAAAAGAATTAAAACACAAACACATTGATCATCTCAATAGATATAGAAAATTTTTTGAGTAAAATCCAATATTCTTTCCTGATAAAAACCCTCAAAAAAAAAAAAAAAAGCATCAAAGTAACATCCCTTAAAATAATGAGAGCCATCTATAACAAACTCACAGCCAACCCGCTACTGAATGGGCAAAAACCATAAACATTCCCCTTGTGAACTGGAACAAAACAAGAATGTCCATTTTCACCATTCCTGTTCAACACAGTATCGCAAGTGCTAGCCATAGCAATCAGCCATAAAAGCTATCCAAATAAGAAAATAAGTCAAAATATTTTTCTTCCTGGATGATATCATTCTATACCTAGAACAGGTATGGAAACCCTAAAGACTCTGCCAAAAGGCTCCTGGAGCTGATAAATAACTTCAGTAAAATTTCAAGGTACAATATCCATGTACAAAAATCAATAGCGTTTTTATATACCAATAACATTCAAGCTGAGAGCCCTATTGAGAACTTATTCCCATTTAAAATAGTCATTAAAAAATAAAATACTGAGAAATAGATCTAACGAGGAGATAAAAGATCTCTACAAGAAACATTAGAAAACACTGAAAGAAATCAGATGATGTAAATAATTGGGAAAACAATCTAGTGGTTATGAATTCAAAGAATCAAGCTCATTAAAGTGGCCCAACTGTCAAAGGCAATTTACAGATTCAACATCGTTTCTGTCAAACTACTGACCTCATTTTTCACAGAACTAGGAATACAAATATATATGTAATATATAAATATATTCACATATATTTATG